GGGGAAGAAGCTGTTACGAAACCTGGTGGTCTTGGTCTGTATAATTCGGTATTGTTTTCCAGATGGTACTAGAAAGTACAAGTTGTGGTAAGGGTGACTCAGGGGTCCCTGAGGATAGAACTGGCCTTTTTGAGGTGTCTAACAGAGTAGATATTCTCAATGTTCGGTAGCACGCAGCCGGTAGTGTTTTGATCCACTTTCACCACGCTCTGGAGTACCTAGTGCACTGGGGCGGAGCAATTACCATACCAGGCAGTGATGCAGCCAGTTAGGATGCTTTCAGTGGTGCACCTGAAGGTTGAAAAGGATATGCCGAACTTCTTTAGTCTGCGGAGAAAGAATAGGCGCTGCCATGCTATCCTGGCTACGTTGGTATGGTGGGTTCAGGTTAGATCATGTGTTGTCGACACCTAGGAATAGGCTGGGCAAATGCTTTTTTTTTAAAGAAATAAAAAATTAGATATAATGATATGTTCCCGCTTAACTTAGACATTGCATGACTTTAAAACCTATAAAAACAGGTTTCGAGAGTTAATAACCACTTTTTATGCGCTAAAAACTGGTGATTTTTCTTCCTCGTGATCAGCTCCGAATCTTTGTGTACGCTGTAAGATTTTTACTTCTTAATTAAATGTTCAGAATACATGAATTTCTTAAAGACAACACATGTTTTGAAGATAAAAAATCCCATTCTTTTCTCTTCCTGTTGTGTGAAACTGATCAGCAGGTCTTTTTTCCCAATCAGAGGTTCTGAAAATAGCGAACTGCCCACTGCGCTCCGTCAGAGGGGGAGGCGGCACTGAGAGAGGGAGGAGGAGCGGAGCTCAGTATTGCACAATGGCTGTTCTATAGCGTGGAGTGCAAATGGCTCCAATTGCATCTGCATTCATAAGTGTTTAAAATTAAACAACCTAAACATAAATCATTTTCTTTTACTTCTAAGTCCCTTAATTAGACAAAGCAGGAACTTGTTGTACTTTCTAATGACTTTACAGGTGGAAAGATTACAGATTTTAATAGTCTTTAATTTTGTTATACATTTTAGAAACGTTTCATCTATACAAACACCACAAAACTATTCTCGATTGTATTTCTGAAAGTTATGTTACACTTAGTTCATTATTTTAAATACATCTAATTAAGAAAGTAAGGTGTTAGCATAAATTATTAATAATCAATTATATTAAATGTAGCACTGTAATAAATTGTTGCACTTTTCCCTGCATTTTGTAAAAATATATTTTCATTGTTCAGATATACTTTAAATCTGACAATCATAAAATAAATTAAACACAAAATTAAAGAAAAATAGGGTAAAATATAATTCAAAATATTTTGCTAACAATGTTAACAGTTAATAAAAATAAAATGTATTAACTAAGGAATAGGATGGCACAATTGTTAGTATGCTTTTTGTTTTCATAAATACAACAGTAGCACCGGATGTCTCAGTGGTTTTCAAAATTAAATTATGCATGCAAACCTGTGAACTACAAAGATATCTAAGATACTATCCATTTATAATTGTGGCAAAGTGGTTAGCATTGCTGTCTTCCAGCACTGGGGCCCTAGGTTCCATCCCTTCAGTCCTGTGTGTGTGGGGTTTGCATGTTCTCTCTGGGTTTAGTGGTTTCTCTCCATATGTGTGATATGATTCCCTCTCGCACTCCAAAACATACTGGTAGGTTAATTGTCTTATGGGAAAATTGGCCCTGGTGTGTGTGTGTGTGTGTTTATGTCTGTCTGTCCTTTGATGGACTGGTGTGTATTCTGCCTTGTGTCCGTTGGTTAATTGCATAGGCTCCAAATCCTCTGTCTTGGATAAAGAGATTAGAAAATGGATGGAAGTAAAGATACTGTGTGGATGGAACTATACACAGTGTTAGAAACCCACTATGAGATGGCAGCATCTCACTAAGGATAAATTATTTTATAGTGCTGGCTTAAGGAAACAGCCTTTCCACTTCTCTTGCACATCAGTATCCATACCTACAGATGCAGCCATTCAAAGTGAGCGGTACAGACAA